GATTGTGATACATACTATAAAGAAGGCAGTCAAAAAATTACTATATAAAAGGTATATATATTTTTTTCAACGATCAGAGGAACGCATTACGTTAAATATCTGTAAAACAGTATTAGTATATAATTCAAATATGCGGATTTAATTAAGCTTTTTTAAGAAAAAAAAAATATAATAATTACGAATTTAAAATCTTATGATATTAGATCAAAAATGTTTCACGAACTTTCTAGGCGAGTTTTTTCCCATATTGAGAATATATTCGAAGGTATTCCACTAGCATCGGTGCTAATAGTCTAATCAAGTTCTTTGATCAAATTCCGATTAATAGATAATTACTTAGATTCGGAACTATCCTTACTTTGTGCCACCATACCACTCAGAGCCAAATGCATCAAGGCTTTCCACTATCTCACCTAACTAAAGGTCCTCCAATCCGCAAAATGTTTGCCCGTTTCTCGGGTGATAATTACAGAAGAATTGCTTTCTGAGATGCTCTTAATCGTAACCTACATAATATTTTTTCACTTTCTCATAATAATCCTTTGCCGAATCATTGCTCTGTATCAAAACCCCATCTAGTAAGTAATACTCATTGGATGGAAACAATTAGATTGCATTTAAATATCTACTTTGCTGTCAATGTGGTTTTTTTTTTATGCCATTTTTTAATCATTGTATTATATATTTAAATAGGGTGTTGACATTGTCATACATTTCATCATACATATGAACATGAATATCAAAAGGTGTTTTCAGAGATTTAAATAAAACATGGGTGTCATGCACCATTGTGTAAAGGTAATTATTAGTCATTTCAAAAGGCATTTATGAAAGGTATTTAAATTCAACATTTCAGAAAAAACAGATATGCCAAACAAAATCTAAATTTCCTTGGGTGTTTTTGATCAATAGTTAGTTTACTTGGTTTATGTTTCACTCAACAATTCACAAAAACTCACTTATCAAGTTAAGTATTTGTTTGATAAAAATTTAGTTTTGTTTTATAATCTTGATTTTGATTTTGGATTTCGTTTTACAATTGTAGAGTAGTAAATAAGAAATATGGCCACGATTTTATTTTTTATTATTTGAATTTTGAATCTTTTTGTAAAATTTTCTTTTCTATACATAAATGAATAGAAATTACTATATAAGCATTCAACCAACATTAAATTGAATTTTTTTTATTAATAGGAATAAATTTGCTTTACATCTACCTTCATAAAGCCTTAATATTGATAGTCTTGTCAAGGGTTATTTGTCAAATTGTTCACGCATAATGGAGGTTCTCTATCATGTCACAATGTGACAAACTTGGAATTATGTTGTGACAAAAAATCTATATTAAAATAGATAGTTTTACTTTTGCCATCCAACAGTTGTCCATAAAATTTTACTAGAAGCGAGATAAATCAAATGGTAATTTTCATTCCATTAAAGATTTTTTCTATTAAATTATTTAAATTATCAAATAAAATTTACTTTTAAGTGTAGAACCAACTGTAAATTATTGTTTAAACTTCTGCCATTCAGAAATTGTAAAGTTTTATTAGAAGCAATGCCTTTGATGTAACAACCTCTTACTATTAATTTTTTTAATATTACGACTTTATAAGGTAAATGTAGAGCAACATTCATTAAAAAATTAACTTGAATA